GGCATTTGGCTACCTTAAGAGAGTCATAGTTACTCCCACCATCTAGGTAACATCTGAAGCTGGGTTACACTTAGCTATATTTTAGGCCTAACCTTAATGTCTTCTCTATTTACTGGATCAACACATTAAGTAGTTGTTTTTCCAAGAGTTCTTGGTAAACAATAAGATTCATAACATCCTTTATGTAAAGGCCAGAAGAAAAAGAATGAAGAATGTACAACATTAGTTGTATCTAAACTACAAGCACTCTAGCGTTAGGAATTATTTTATTATATTCCAAAACATGCAAAATCAACAGAGTAAAGCATCCAAAAATAAACCCACTAACCCAACTGCTTTTGAAAAGTAGCAAAAAAATAGCTATTTATTCCTGATGAAGGAAAGTCCACTATACTGGGTTATTAGGTTTCTTTTCTTCAGAATTCTCTTTATCTACTCAGCAAAATTAATAGACAAATCTCTGTCTATGGAGTATTATTTCATTAAACAGTTCAAAGTAATAAGCCAAAAGATCCGTTCTTGACTATGACACACTTATTTTGTAGAATATCTTTTCATATGAGGAGTGTCAGTTGACTAAACAGTTCAAAGTGATTAGGGAAAAGATCAGTTCTTAACTATGACACACTTATTTTGTAGAATATCTTTTCATCTGAGGAGTGTCAGTTGACTAAACAGTTCAAAGTGATTAGGGAAAAGATCAGTTCTTAACTATGACACACTTATTTTGTAGAATATCTTTTCATCTGAGGAGTGTTAGTTGACTAAACAGTTCAAAGTGATTAGGGAAAAGATCAGTTCTTACCAGTAACATTCTAATCTTCTGGAACTTTTCTTTATCTACCGAGTGCTGTTTTTCGATCAGTTGAGCTCTTTCCTATAGAAAAGGTAAGAAAAATTTTAATTCCACCACAACTCGGCATCAGTTATGCTTCAAATGCTGAGATATATAGTAGAAAAGAAGATCTGATAATTAAACAACTAACGTTAAAAATTGTCTCTCAGATCTTTACAGAACAAGATCACATCCGTAAGAAGATGTCTATTACATTTTGTCTATTTGAATTACGATTCATTCCATCTTACCAATGGAACTGTTGTCATTTTCAAATGAAATATTTTTTCCTGCTAACCTCGTTTCTTTATGGTTAGTAATTTTCCAAATTATTTCTTAAAAAACTCGTATGCTTAATATCATTAGTTCTCTAACATTAACAATGTAATAACTTGTAAATAGCCAAAATGGCTTTCAACAAAATCTGTGAAAAAACATTCTATGAGACTACATGAAGCAAAGAACAGCTTTTTGTGTGTTCTGTAAGTAAGGCATACTTTATTTTTTAATGTTTGTTTTGAATTTCGCACAAAGCTACACGAGGGCTATCTGCACTAGCCATCCCTTATTTAGCAGTGTAAGAATAGAGGGAAGGCAGCTAGTCATCACCACCCACTGACAACTCTTGGGCTAATCTTTTACCAACGAATAGTGGGATTGACCATCACATTATAATGTCCCCACAGCTGAAAGGGCAAGCATGTTTGGTGTGATGGGGATTCGAACTCGCGACCCTCAGATTGCGAGTCGAGCACCCTAACCACCTGGCCATGCCGGGCTGTTACTTTTATTACCAGCATTGGTTAGAATTTTTAATACAGCTACTTTTATTATTTTTAATTTTCAATTACTGTACTTTTATTAGAGATTATTTTATATTAACAGCTTGATATATAGATTTAGGTTGACCCTAAATCTCCTAAGCTGGATGAATCTCCTGAGATATTATTAGGTTTATGGCCAAAAATACTGTTAACAGCAAGGGTACCTAACTGATGAAACAGTGCATTAAACTTTCTTTATAAGAAAGAATGAGAAAAAAAGTATATTTGATTAGCTATACCCAATAATGGGTTGATTTTCAGTTTCGATCTAAGTAGCTTGGTCTGAATGGAACTTAATACCAGTGCCAAGAGCTGTAATGGAACATTTAAAAATAAATGAAGACCTAAATAGAGTTCTCTGTGGAAATGATTGTACAGAAAAAGTCAACAACGAAATGAAAACATAGAAAGATATTAACCTACCAAGTCCTCAGTACTTCCATCCTGTGTTGAAGACTTCACACTTTCAACCTGGGTCTGTAAACGAATCAGTTCCTCCTTGCACTGACTTCGAAACTCTTGTTCTTGACGTTTTAGGTTTTCATTCATCACCACTAGTGCCTGTAGCTTTTTGATAACACTAAATGACAAGAAGTAGTTTTGCTTCATATTTTGTGTCTTTGCATTTTAATTTGTAAAGCAAGTATTGATATATATATTTCATCAGTATTATTGACCAATCAAAAAAAGTCACTTGTTTCCAATTTCAAGAATATTGAACACTTTCCTAATGATATGTTTTTGCATTATTAAACAATTAGTATTAATAACAATTAAAAATAGTGAATAATCATTATACTTTCAACAATATTGAATAATCAAGAAATATCTATTTCAAAAATATTGAACAGTGATGCAAGAGTAATGAGAAATACATTTACTGTTATACTGATAAAAAAGAAAATCCTACCTTTTATTATCGTCATTTTCTAAGGCCTCAATTTCTTCACTTTGTTTTAGTAGCTGAGCATGTGTGGCCTGAAGCTAGTAAGACAATCATAAACATAAATACTCTAAACAAACACTGATGAACAGATACAAAACTAAGTAATTTCAATGCAGAGTTGAATGACATGGAATACAAAATGTAAGTGAACAATTCATACTCGACAAAAAATTAAGTTTTTTTATATACGATTTAATATATATACACAGAAGCTAGAGAGTACGAGAAACACAAAGATGAGCGTAGCAGTTTCTAACCTTGCGTAACTTTTCCAAGCTCTCTTCATACACCTTCTTAAGTTCTTCGTGCTTTGTCTGCCCCTAGTGAAAAGATCATTTTACTAAACTACAACTTATCACAAAAGTAATGCAGCTAATACACTCGGCAAACAGATATATATGACAGAATATTATTTTTCCAGAAATTAAACCATGTGACATGTATAACATGCTTTACAAAATTTAAAAAAAAAATGTTTTCACTCGAGTAAAAAAGTTGTTGCTACTTTATCCACGTGAATAAAATGTGTGGAAAAACACACACTGTAGTTAATCAGAAGATAGAACACTAATGGCAGAATATAAGAAAATTGCTATGAATATAGTATTAAAAATAAATATTAGTGCATTTTAATTTCAATGTAGAGGATTTTTAACATGAATACAAAAAATTACTCCATGTTCTGATATCAATTTAGAAAGGTAACAATATGCAATTAGTTTGTTTGTTTTGAATTTCGCGCAAAGCTACACGAGGGCTATCTGCGCTAGCCGTCCCTAATTTAGCAGTGTAAGACTAGAGGGAAGGCAGCTAGTCATCACCACCCACCGCCAACCTACTTGGGTCTACGTCTTTTACCTAAACGAAAAG